CAGCAAGCCAAGTCCACCAACCTGTCCTTCCACCAACGTGGCCACACTCCCTTAGGTTCTGGATGACATTTCTGTCTTGAAGACAACTCTGGAGTATTTTAATCTATTACCATGTTGTATCTTAGTTATTATTTAGTACTTTATCCAACATTAGTTGAGGCTCAGGTAAGATTCTGAATAGGATGAAGAGGGATGGTTACCTAGAATAAAGTGAAAGACATTAATTTTAACTAGATGATAAGCACCTTAGGATATAATTGTGTCTGACAGTAATAGTAACAGGGTAATAGTATTTTGGTAATGTCTACAGTATATTAGGCACTATGCTTAACATTTTTATGTACAATATTTCATTTATCTTCACAAAAATACAGTGAGGTAGACATGATCTTCATTTAACAGATGAGGAAACTGAATGTTTAAATTCACAGAAGAGTTCCATAAAAAGAGGATAAAACTCAATTTTTAAAAATGGAGAAAAGATTTGAATAGGTGCGTTACTAAAAAGATACGGGTGGCAAATAAGCTCATGCGAAGATGCTCAATATTATTAGTCATTACTGAAAAGCAAATATAAACCATAATTAAATGCCATTACACATCTATTAGAATGACTTAAATTAAAATGACTGTTGATGCCCAGTGCAGACAAGAATGTGAATCAACTAAAAGTCTCATACATTGTGGTGGGAAAACAATATGGTACCATTGCTTTGAAAACTCTTCGGCAGTTTCTTTTGAAGTTAAACACACACTTACATATGACCCAGCAATGCCACTCTTAGATGTTTATGCAAGAGAAATGAAAATATATGCCCACATGATGGACAATACCTGTACACAAATATCTGTAGTGGCTTTATCCAAAATCATCAAAACTGGAAACAGTTCAAAAATCCATCAACTGATGAATACGTAACAAATGGAATCCCACTCAGCAATAAAAGATAGGAACTACTCATACATGAAACAAGGATGAATCTTAAAAGCATTATGCTAAGTGAAAGAAGCCAAAGTCAAAGGGTTATAATTTGTATGATTCCACTTATGTGCCATTTTGGAAAAGGCAAAACTAGAGGGACAAAAATTAGATTGTTAGTAGGTATGGGGATCAAAATAGGACACTGACTACAAAGGATCAACAGGGAAATTTCTGGGAAGACAGAAATGTTCTTTACATGAATTATGATGATGGCTATATGCCAGGACACATTTGTCAAAACTCATCAAACTGTACCCTTAAAAAGGGTGAATTTTACTCTATATAAATCCTATTTTAATAAACTCTGACTTTTAAAAATGTTCCTGTGGGATAGTGCTTTTAATTATTTTAATCTGGGTATTCCCAGCATCTTAGACTAGGGCCTGCCACATAGTAGGCATTTAATAAATTAATATCAAATTAATTAAAAAGAAAAAGGATGCCTTGACCATGAATAATAACATATTTTGTCTACTTCCCTGTTTTCTTTAGAATAGTCCAGCCATGCTCTCTCACGCCTGGCACCATTTCTGTAAGCTCACACTTATGCAAGTGATATTTCTGTGAAGCCGACCCATGAGTAATTTCTGAGTAGGTATTAAAACACCCTCACGTCTACAAGTCTAATATATTAATAAATGTGCTGTTTTCAATGAGACATCTAAATTTGCATGCACCATCCTACTTGTTATGTTCAGTACTCAATTTTTTAATGTTTCTTGGACACTAGCCAGTAAGTCTGAGTCCCTAGTTAGTTCATCTATTACTTTCTCACCACAATAGATTTGGGCCTCCGCCAAGAAATGGACTAATACTGCATACAAAACTCTATAATGCATTTCCTGATCTTCTGATATTTCCTTTCTGAGTAAGAGGGGGGAATACACACCCGCACACACACATACACACACACAAATCCTATCTATACACACGATCTATCCAAGTTAGGTAAACATTTTTTATTGCCATTATTAACATCGGATGCCTTCTATAATCCAAATGTTTGCCTGTCCATTTGCATGATCCTCTCACCCTGAGGACTGGAGGGGAACAATGAGTTGTAAAATCTGATGATGATCAAAGCTGATGCCTCTATGTGGGGGGAAAAAAAAGCCAGGATTGTAGGAGCCCTCATTTCCACAGGAAAAGCACATTTTCTGCATTCAACTTGGCACATTCTCGGTGTCTTAATTTCAGTGATTCCAAAATGAGATGCTCTTGAAGATGGGAAAGGTTCTGTGGTGAAGAGGGGGCCTTTTCCTCCCCCACCTTCATTTCCCTTAAAACATAAGTACAGAACTAATAGAACTAATGAATGCTATTAAAGATACTTATTGAAATGATTCTGATTTGTATCTGATGACTAACTAACCTATTATTGCACTTCTTGGGCAGAGATTAATGGGAAATTCTTGACGAATAAAGACTCTAACAAGCCTTAGAAATATGTGTGGGCCCAGACTGTACCACGTGACCTCAGAAAACTGAACCCTGGCTGTTAATATCCTTGACTAATGAACCAAGGCTACAGTCCGTGCTAGCAAAGTGTCAAGAAATAAGTAACCAGAGAGGTGACCTTTTAACATGCTTCTAAATGTAATTTTTAACAGAACAGTGTCAATAAGTTCAAATTCCCATATGCTTTTGATCTGATATGGAAGTGCGATGCATCAATATCAGACAGCAAAGGGAGGAAAGAAGAAAGCTGGAGAAAAAGGATAAAAAAAGGATCTAAAAGAATAATCTACTTTATGACACTAAACACCTTTCCTTCACGAAGGTAAAACTGTAAGAAATCCTGGTTCTCTCTTTCATCATTATCACCACCATGAGTATATAATTAATAATAATAATTGCAGAATAGTACTATTAATTCCCTTAAGAACTGTTGTCATTGCTTAGACTTGAAATAGGTTGGATGACCTGCCATCAATGCCTCTCCCCTTTCCAGCTCTCGAATTTTCCATTTCCAGCTTGAGTGGCTCACGGAACTCAGGAGAAAAGTTCACTTACTAGATTTTGGGTTTATTATAAAATGGTATAACTCAGGAATAGCGAGATGAAGGATGCACAAAGCAAGGCATGAGGGAAGGGGCATGGAGTGTCCGTGTCATCTCCAAGCGGGCTACTCTCCCAGCGTCTCCATGTTCACCAACCTGGAAGCTCTCTGAACCCTGACCTTTTGGGGTTTCATGGAGGCTTCATCACATAGGCATGATTGATTAAATAATTGGCCATCAGTGATTGAACTCAATCTCCAGCCCCTCTCCTCTCCTTGGAGATCAGGAGGGTGGGGCTCAAAGTTCCAACCCTCTAATCATGTGGTTGGTTCCTCTGGCAACTGACCCAGATTTAGGTCCTCCCCAAAGTCATTACATTAACATAAATTCAGGTGTGGTTGAAAGGGGGTTGTTATGAATATCAAAAGACGCCTTTATCCTTCTTATCAGTGAGGAAATTTGAAGGATTTTAGGAGCTCCGTGCCAGAAAAGGAGAAAAAGACCAAATGTGTATATCTTATTGTAAGTCCCAATGTCACAGATGGAGGGAGCACAGGATGTGAGCCTGGAGAAGCAGGATAGAGCGATATAGTAATATGCCCTGCATGCAGAGCTCCGCAACCTGGGCTTAGTGGTGCAGGCAGTGGGGAGTTGCTGAGGGACTGCAGGCAGGAGATACCCTGGTTGCACTTGTAGGGCAGTGCCTTCTAACAGGATGCGGTCTGGCGACAGCAAAGTGGTCAGGGGCTGCTGCAAAGATTCTCTGCATACCTGAACTAGCATGGGGCAGCCAGAAAGCGAAACTACAAGATTTGAGAGAAGTTTTCTAGGATGACATTGACATACTTGGTAACCCGTTGGGTTGTCAACTTGGAGAGGGGTGAGCAGTAAGGAAAACAGGGAGAACCCAGGAGAAGAAGGAGATTTAGGACATTAGGAAGCCCAACTATCTGAATTTTCTCACTACGTTTTAACTTTTTTTACTCCATCTGGTTCTTCCTCCTTTTTTAGAAGTCTTGAAGATTGAGGGATTTCTCCAGATTCTTGAATTTTACTTAGAGAAATCCTTCACCAGGCATGAAAAAAGTAAAATAACCTGTCTCTCTTGGAGAACTGAAAAAGTTCTTTTCGTTTGGAATATTTAAAACATGGCATGATTGTTAGGAGGTGAGGAAAGGGAGATAGGTGGAAAGGAGGGGAGCAAAACACAACCCAGAGCTTCATGAAAAGTGAGAGGAGAGGAATCCTCAGAGCCCTCCATGGGAGGCGGAAGGCGGCGACTTTTATCCCTCTGTGTTGAATTCCACCGTGTCTGTGTCTTTGGGAGTTTGCAGTCAGAGCTCAACCTGGGGCCATTCTGGGTGGGCACGTCTAGCCTGAGGCAGAAGCCAGTCCTACTGGACATACTGAAACAAATTTTTAAAATCATAAGGGAGAAATCGGATTTGAGGGAGTCTGTTTGACAAGACCTGGAGCTCCTGTAAATGAATTTTCTTAAATCAAGAGGCGGGGTCGGGGGTAGGGGGTAGGGGCAGGAGAGAATATTTCCTTTCTGTCCTTAACAAACCAGTAAACAAATCATTACAGAAAAGACTCAGATACTTCTCACCCATCCTTTTTAAAGTGTTAGCTGATAAGAGCTAATGCAGTTAAGGACTACCAACTTTGAGTGCTACTTTTTAGTTTAAATGAATAAATTCTCAATGACAAAGGATCCTTCAAGGTCCAAAGGAATCTCCCTTTTAGAGCAGGGATTCAAGACTAAACAATTTTCAGCATCATCCTTACTGTCTTCAGTTATCTTAACTAGCAATCACTGAGTCGTACAATTTGCAGCCATGTTGCCTGCTTTGCAAGAATTAAGTCCGGACTATTGTGTCCCCATTACTGACGAAGAAACTGAGTTTTAGAGTTTATGGTAAACTTGGTCAACATCTCACAGTGGGAGACATGTTTTGAGAAGCTATGAGCAACCAAGGACCGGGCCAGAAGCTTTCAAACCTCTCAGATTGATTTTATTTTCCCCATTTTACACTAATGCTCCAGGGGCTCGGTAACTTGCCCAGGGTCACCCTGTTTGTAATGTAAATGCCTAATTGTCCTTAATTTTAACCAGATACAATTTCTTCCAAGGTACCCGGAGTGTGGGAGGCCCATTCACAGTAGATGCTTCTTTATTTTCTTCCCTGTGAGTTCAGAAAGGGAGTGAAAACTAGATATGTCCCGGTGTATCCTCTTGATCAAAAATTAATTGTTGAAATCTCATTACTTTTGCCAGCAAATGGTCTAAAGATGGGTGTACGACTGACTCACTTCTGGCCTACAAGATAAGAGTTGGAAGCCTGCTGAGGAGGGCAAGACTCCTGAAATGAAAACACAAAGCTTCAAAAGGATGAGACCTTTGCCAGTCTTCTGTCTGGAAAGCAGAGGTAAGGCTTGGAGCAGTAGCAGCCATCTTATGATCATAAAATAACAACCATAGGATATGAGCCCCAAAGCCGATAGACGGAAGATGACGGAGCACAAACACACACAGTGCCTGTGCCCATTATGACATTTTTCAGTCACTGCACTAAGACTACTTAGATCTGCTGCTAGGTTCTGTGTGCTTGCCTGTTTGGTTATTTGCAGCTGAATACTTTTCCAACTGAGGCACTGAGCTCCTGGGCTTGTCTGTGTCTGTGGAATACAGCAAAGTTGTAGCCACCAAATGCAACTCATCATGTAGGACTTGCCTGGATTAATCAACAATTTCCAGCCTTTTCTCTTGGAATCCTTCCTTGTTTAGAATAATAGAATAGTAAGAAGCCGCACCCCTGGTAATACCTAACTGCCAGTACGTTCTAAGGGAAACGGAAAACGAAAGTAAGCTGCCACCAGGAATCCCTGGCCAGATACTACATACCTACTCAGTGTTTAGATTAGTCTGCAGCAACATTATGACAAAAAGAATTAATTACACGCATTACCTTTAGCTGAGTATCTACCCTGTACTCCATGCAATGCTTAGCACTTTGTATT